CAGAGCAAGGGAGCTGCTCTGGGTTGAGCAGGACCATCTCGGTCTTCTCCAGGATCTGGGTTGAGTTCAATGCCCTCAACATGCAGTCTGCTATTAATAGATGCTATCCCAGTTTCAAACTGGCAATTATGTTAACTAGTGTTTGGGTGACAATTCTGACTAAAGGTAAGGTCCTTTTCTAATTGCACCTGGAAAACGGTCTACTCAGACATCTTCTGAGGATGCCCCCCCAGACAGTACAAGAGCATCTGTATTTATTCAATCTATCTGGTTCCAGGTCACTTATGAACACATGAAACCAGTGTTTCTGTGTGCTTTTCACTTGGATAATTTGCAGTCATCATAGAATATCTGATATTCAAAAAGTGTGATGTAAAATCATCTCTCGTTTCTTCATATGGTTTCTAGGTAACTTTGTAACCAGCACAGCCATCTCCGTCTGGGGTTGAGGATGAGAAGCGAGTCTGAAGATCTTGTGGCACTGGATCACTTCAGGCACAGGGTGTACAGGTGGGTCACGTGCAGTGACAAGCCCCAACAGTAAACGTCCAAGCATTGACTGCAACACCCCGACCAAACACTGCAACAGGGATTAGAGTGATAGAGATGGCCGGCATGTGGACACTGAGAATTCGGTCAGATAGCTGGTCTCATTCCTTCAGAGTCATGACCTCATTATGACTCATCAGCTTCTTTATGGGAGCACAAAAGCACTTGTAGAAATAAATCCTGTTGGTACCTGTGTGTGACTAGATGGGAGAGCTGAAGTGAGATTATTAAAATCTCAGGCCACCCATTACAATTTCAATTAGGTAACATATTTTTTTCTTTTATATTGAACCCATTTAATAAGCTGAACAACAGTTTTAAGCCCTGAACATATTATAGAAAGCATGCAAAGAAGTTAGTCTTATCAAAATACATAAGGCTGTTTTTAAAATCGCTGCCATGAGGCAGGCAGAGCCACGGAGACAGTCTTTGAAACTTGCCGGAAGTTACGCCATGGGTAAGGGTAGAATTTGGTCTTAGGTCTTGGTGGATTCTGAGCAATTCCTTTATCACCAGAGGACATGTGCTTTATGTCAGTCCACTGGCTCTTCAGACTGGGGCCTTCCTCAGGCCATTATCTAAGCTTAGAGGGTCCCATCTCCTCATCCAAGAGCAAGGACAAGACCAAGGACAAGACCTGGTGCTCTGGTTCCTGCTTTGGGGTGCAAATTTTGATCATCTAATGTCTACCTCGGGGAGAAGAGGTCATCCAACCAGGGAGGAAAGGCGTATTTCATCTTGTAGTTGTAGCACCTTCAGGATCTGAAGCAGAGGCTACGGAGGAACTCTGTTTACTGGTCTGCTTAGTCTTACAGCCCTCAGGATCACCAACCCATAGGTGGCACGGGCACAGTGAGTGAAATCCTCCCCTATCAAGAAAACGCTTCATGGGCCAACCTGGAGGAGGCATATTCTCGGTTGAGGCTCCCCTTTCCGTCCAGTTGATAGAAAACTATGACATGTCAAAGTTCCGGCTAAGCTCCTGTCTGGGAGCTGTTATGGCTTGAAGGATGTGCTGGAGCGTGATTGCCTAGAATAATTCACATGTGTGCATGGATAGGCGATCTCTTCAAACTTTCAAGCAGGCTACAACAGAACCCATATGTAGGGCTGACTCACTTAACAATGGCATCTCCTAGGAGCCTGTCAAAAGCGCAGATGAAAAGTTGGGAGTGGAGTTACTCAGAGGCTGAGGCAGGAGGATCACAAGGCCAGTCTGGGGTACATAGCAAGACCAAATCTCGAAAACAAAACCAAAAGACTCCAGAGCCATGTGAAGCTCTGTAGTCAAGCGTGCATTGCACCTGTATACGAGACCTTTGAAATGACCGCCCCAAAGCTAAAAAAGTGTGTGTGTGTGGGGGGGGGTTTAGCTCACTGGTACTGTATGCTTGGCATGTCCAAGACCCTGAGTGCAACCTCAGCACCAGCCCCAACGAAAACTCATAGACATTTCCTGCATTAGAATTAGAGTGCCTGAGTGAAACAAACTGAAGCCTAGCAGTCAAAGGAACTCCTCTTAAAAGGGCAATGCCACTGGGCGCCGGTGGTGCACACATTTAATCCCAGCACTTGAATTCAAGGCCAGCCTGGTCTATAAGAATTAGTTCCAGGATAGGCTCCAAAGCTGGAGAAACCCTGTCTCGAACCTCCTCCCTCACCCCCCAAAAAGGGGCAATGCCAGGATCTTCAGAGAGAATACCATCTGGGAATGGAGTCTCCATTTTTAGCCACAGGTTCCACTACTGAACTTCTGCTCCATCTTCAGGTGGAGACTGTTCTTCCCCACCCCCACCAGGAGAAAACTGAAATGCCCCGAGGAAAATGTCTCAGGACGTAGTTTGTCAAGGTCTGGTGAGATGGTTGTTACCTACGGTCCTGTGGGGGCCTCATGGTATGGACCTTTAAAGGAGGGGCTCCTGGAGTGTGCTGGAGTAAGCCTTCTTCCGACTCTTGACAAGCCAAAGGTCCTAGGGTACACGGGCTCCACCAGGTGCCACCAGGTGAGGAGCCCACTGAAGAGCTCTTCCGTGAGGTCTTCACAGGAAAGCCACTAATGAAAGATGATCACTAGATCCCGTGACACACGGCAACTGCACTGCATGTGAAACCCGGGCTACCCTGGTGAACCCGACCTTAGCCACCCAGGTGACTCTCACGAGGAAATGCATGGCCAAGACCAAAGACAGCTGTCTTCAGCGACAACAGGCCTTGAGAAACCCCAGTTCATCTTGTGCTTCTTCAACGGCTGGCATGCTTTTCCCTGAACTGCTGCGCAGCCACCCGCCAGAGTCATGCTGGCAGAAGGCCTAAGTGGCACACCCAGCAGCTGAGGCATGACGGTCCGCGGCAGCGTCTGCCATCTGCACCAGTGAGAACAGAGGGTAATGACCCGTGGCACTCATCTGAACCAAGGGCTGTTCACTGTGACCAGGGAGCCAACCTCAGTCGCCCGCCACAAGGCTTCAAGTGACTATAACACACAATAGAAAGGCTGGGGCTCATAGGGCTGCATCAGTGTTCTTGCTCATTCAGAGAGCAGTTGTGTGCCTTGTGAACCGATTTAAAATCTGTCTTCACCTTTAAAAGGGGCACGTCAGTGGGGTCGCCTCACAGGATTGTGACCAGTTAGTGGATGATACCAGGCCGGCATAGAGGACACACTCCTGCATTTGGCAAAGCAGCTAACTGAACAGTAAACACTGATGGAGACAGCAAGGTTTCCAGAGACAGCCAGGGGACTGTGCCTTTAAAAGCTCTGACAACTTCATACGTCTAAACCGATTTCCAAAAAGTGAACTTCCAGCTTGCTGGGTTAGGTTCTGGAATTCTGCCACTTAAGACTTAGCATTTCAACACAACAGTGTGGGCTGCAGGGGCTGGGGAGATGGCTCGCATGGCAAACGTGCTTGCTGTGCAAGCCTAGGCGAGCCAACCTCAGTCGCCCGCCACAAGGCTTCAAGTGACTATAACACACAATAGAAAGGCTGGGGCTCATAGGGCTGCATCAGTGTTCTTGCTCATTCAGAGAGCAGTTGTGTGCCTTGTGAACCTATTTAAACTATGGGATCTGGGAACTGACCCTCAGATCCCATAGAAAGGGGGAAGGAGCAAAGCAACTCCACCCACTTCCACATGCAAACACCCCTGCCTCATACACACTACCACCACTACTAAAAAAAGATAGGAAAACAGGACATACAAGCAATCGATGTGCTAAGCTCCTATGAGAGCGCTCTCATTTCTGTGTTTGTGACATGTGTGAATATGTGCATATGTCCACGCCACGTGCACTTGAAGGCCAGAGGTCACCATCAGGGCCATCCACTATCTACTTTTATCTTCTGAGACAGGGCTTCTCACTGATCCCAGTGCGCATGGACTGTTTAGAATGCATAAGCAGCGAGCTCTGAGGCTGGCTTTAGTGCTAGGCTTAAATACATGTGACCCACACTTGACTTTCTGGGGGGTATGGAGGCTCTGAACTCAGGTCCTCATGCCTGGGCAGCAGGCACGGTTCCCACAAGCCATCTCCCTTCTGCGATGGGTTTCCTGGGAGTCCTATAGCTGTCCCTTCCCCAGAGAGTCAGGTCTTCCAAAACACAAACACACAGCTTTGTCATGATACTTTTTTTTTTATTACAATAGTCAAAAAAACTGGGTATGCAAGTTTAGGGGATCTCAAGACCCCTTCTTCAATCGTAGGAATGTGCCATCTCAAGACGCTATAGTCAAACTATAAAGAAGTTCAAATGTAAAGAAAAAATGAAAATGCAATTTCTTCATAAACATTCTGTTACTACCAATCACATACTCTTTTGTAAACCCTGAAAAATTTCCCTGTAAAGCAAATAATATATATATAATATACATATATTATATATATATAGTGTGTATGTATAAAGTATTGGTAGCTCCCCTTCCCGAGAGATCAGCTGTTTTCCTTAATCATGTTATTAGTGTCAACAAACGGCTACAGTTACATATTACTTTGAGAATTAAATACATAGTTGTGAAATTCAAACAAGCTGAAGGGCAAGAAGGAAAAAGCCCTATGTGGATGGCACACCTGGGGGTACATTACCCGAGTTTCTTTCTTTCTGCTGTTGCCTCTTTTGCAGACCAAAAAAACCCAACAAAACAAAACAAAAAACAACAAAAAAACCCTCTTTTATTGCAAGCACAGCCTCAAAGGCACTGGGCAGTTCCCTTACCATCACCTCCCCAGGGTTTCCAGTATTGCTATCTGCACATTCTTGGACTCCTGCAGAGCCTGGAGCCAAAAAAAATAATAATAATAATATATATATACGCAGGCCCTGGACCAGCATGGCTGATGGGAGGCACCAAGCACCCGTGGACACAGCTCTCAGAGTGTGTGTACTAAGGTCACATGTTCACTACATACAGACTTTCTGCCCTCCAAATAGACCCCAGTCTTTTATTGTGTGTGTGTGTGTGTGTGTGTGTGTGTGTGTGTGTGAGAAGGATTTAAACAGACTGCTTCCAAGTATAAAGGAAAAAAGTGAGCAGCTTTGCTCCCTTTGACCCTCAACCACCTGAAGATGGCCCGAAGGTGGTGGCCATGGGCACGGCTCTGAGGACCTGGGTAGCTATGGTCAACCGACGGGGCTACAGAGTGGAGGTGACCCAGGCCGCACGGGTGGAGGTGGCTGGCAGCGCTGGGCTCTGGGAGGCAGAGGTGGCAGCGAGGGCCACAGTGGGCAGGGCACAGAGAAGCCGATGGCTGCCTTCACTGCAGGGCCCGGACGAGGTAGAGTTTCTCGCCGTGTTCGCTGGTGAAGATGGGGGCCTTCTTGTAGTGCTCCACAAGCTCGTCCATGCTATGGAACCGCCGCTGCCCAATGCAGTAGACGCTGTCCACCAGCTGCACCTTGAAGTGCTTGTTCCTCCCTGACGCTTTGAGAGACACAGAGAAGTCACTGGGCTGGGGAGGAAGAAAAAGGGAGTTACCAGCAGCGTAGGCACCGCAGAGAACAGGGTCTGCCTGAACAAGCACTGTGTTCGCCCGGAACAGCACGGTCCTCAGACTGACCGGCAGCCCAGGGCTTTCCAGTTCGTATTCAAACACTAATGAAATTCTGCTTCCCGCGGATTCAGGGATAAAAAATGCACTCTGGGCCTCTGACAAGTAGGAACTCATTATAGAGAGAATGACAACTGGGTTAACCTTGGGGCGGAAGAACCGGAGATTTCCATTTCCCCAAATTATTTCTGACAAACTGGGAATTATTCACAATGGCTCTCAGGCAGGCAGGGAAACTAGAAGCGCTCCTTTTGGATTTCTATTAGAATCTAAGCCCCTTAAACAACAGATACCGTCAAAGCGATGGATGTGCTTGAAACAGTTTGCTGTGTCCCAGAGATGGCTTCATGGTGGTTCAAGCACAGATCTCAGTGAGAAAAGTCTAAATTCTGTGATGAGTTCAGTTCCTTACTGACTTGAGTATATTTTGGGATATACTAGTGTTTTTAGGAAAACCGGCCATCGCATCCATGTATTGAAAGCCAATCGGAAGGATACCGCATAGAGGTATCGACCGATTCAATGTTTACTAATGATCGTATGACTTTATCCGATACCCGCTAAGGAGGTGAGTAGGGAGCTCGGTCCATGACTGCGACTGTGCTACTTCTACTTAAAAAAAAAAAAGTGTCCTCACAAGCTCATGAGCTAGGAGACACAACGTGAAGGAGAACGTGTACTTGTGGAAGTTGTAAGTGAACAGGAATGTGAAGTGTGTAAATATACATGTGCACGTGTGAGTGAGTTCGCACACTTGTAATGGAGCCAGGAAAGACCACTATAAATAGAAAAGCTGAAGCTGAGTTACGGGCGGGAAGGGCTTGCTGACGATGTGCACGGGACCTATGGTGGAAAAAGGAGGACCTGTCCTTCTGCACTAACGGGGCAGTATGGCTCAGGAGGAAGTAAGAGACTCACACCGCTGCACCCCGTTCACTTCCACTTATGATATCGTTGGACTGTCCTCTGTCCCCTGGTTAGCTACTGCCTAAAAGATGTTCTCAAAAGCTCCAACATCCCTCGAAATCCTGCCTGCCTGGGCAGGGCCAGGCTCTGCCCCTCAGGACTCACCCTGAAGCAGTCAGTCCACACCCATGACAAGACCTTCGGAGCCTGCTCCTGCTTTTCCCCATTCCTGAGGACTTGCTACTACTACGCAGGAGCCAGTAGCTAGCCCTCTTTTCCAGCAGGTCCTCTACTCGAAGTTCATGAAGCCCAATGACTTATTTGATGGGGTGGCCAAGTACTGCAGATGAGGAGACCATCCTTGCCCTTGGCCATTCTAGGATAGGAGCCTAGGGCAGCTCAAACACAGAGGGCAGCTGGCTCCCCCACCAGCCACTGCTGCTTGAAGAAAGGAATGACAAAGGACAGCAGTGTGAATTTATGCTCTATCTATCCCCATGCTATACCCAGGACTGGATGGCTGGGAGGAGGCCCAGCAAGAAATGGGCCTCAGGTTTTTACTAGCAGGGCCATGCATGAGCCCCAGGGTGGGCAAGACACAGAACCTGACACTTTCTTCAAAGGATCATGGAACTCCGATGTCACAGGTGAGCATGCCAACAAACCCGACGAACAACACATTAACCCTTTTATGCTCTGGGAAACCTCAGTAATGCTGAAAGTTACAGTCTGCTTTCCCTTGGGATATCCTAACTGCCAGGATCACCGCTGCTGCCTTCTCATGCCAGCATCAAATAGCTGTTGAAGGGAATGATATGAAAGCCCAACCGTGGACCTGAGAACCAAGATAGTTACAGACGTATACTAGTTCGAAGCGTGCCAACCGGCCCAATCAACACCATCTACCACAGACCCCCAAGAATGCTGCAAGCTGCCGTTTGTTTCCTTCTGGGATATTCAAATTGCCAGCCCCACGGTTAGTGCCTTCCGATGTCTGTATTTAACAGGGGTGATTGAATATAACCAGTGATATCCCAACCACTGACCTGATAACCAAGACATCTACAGATGAACACAAGCTAGCCTCGGAATTCTCTGGGGCCCACCTGGAAAGTGAACAACAGGTACTGTCCAACTGGCACACACTGCCTGCTCACAACCTCTGGCATGGGCACTAAGGTCACCAGGCAGTTCCGTACAAGAACACATACAAGTTAGGAGCTGTTCAACCTTCTCCCAACAGCTCCAGGTGGTCTTTAGGGGGTGGGTGGGTTACATTTTAGTTCCAGGCTCCTCACTATTAATATTCTGCAAGTAATCCATCTGAGCTAAGATGGGGGTGCCTTCCCTGAACCAGCTTGCCAGGAGCCAGACCATGCGATGTGGATGATTCTTGAGTCAACCACGCCAAAGGAGCCTTGTTTTCAGGGGTGGTAACTGGGGATGACTGGAATCGGCATATGATATGCCTGGTGTTCGCTAATTAATAGGACTTTCCAAACAGGAAATTTTGCTTTTAATCTGAGATCCTTAATTTGACACTATGATGTGTGTGGGTTTGTTACGGTACAGCAGTAAAATGTTGCAGCAGGGAAGGCGGGTTTTTAATTTCCTGGGCTTCTTGAGCGGACACCGTGAAGTCAAGGACACACAATCAACTCATGCTAAGCAGGAGTACCGGGGAGTCTGGAGTGTTCTTAATCCAAATCGAGGAGACATTCCTCAGGCGATCTGAAAATGAGCTACACCAAGAGACATCCCTTCGTGTTACAGGTTCCCACTGCCTGTCAAAACACTGAAGAGCAGACGTATTTCATTTCAGATTTTGGATTTTCTTCATCCTTTTTGTTTTTTTTTTTTTTGTTTGTTTGTTTGTTTTTAATGGCTTGGTTCTGCCCTGGGGGAGTTTCTGCTTCTGTCACAGACCTGAGAACCTCCCTTCATAAAGTCCCCAGGTGACCACCCTGCTGCTCTGCCATCTTTGGGCTGTACATATGTTGATATTCCCTCCATCCCCAAGAAAGGGCAGCCTACTGGCTTCTTATCAAACCCTCCATCCCCAGCTCTTTTTATCTGGGAAATGGATACTTTTTTTTCTTTCTATGTCAGTAGGGTAAACATATTTTCTCTAAAGAAGAGGTTCCTTGATCCCCAGACAAAGAGCTAATGTATGAGAGGTAAAATGGGCTCTACTGGTTAACATCCTCACTGTTCTCCATGTTCTCTGGTTCCCTGATGTAGCCCATTTTTAGGTCAAAACTGACAGGTGTTTTTTACCAATGACAGCGGCATGGACTATCTTCTCCAATCCCCAAGCCTCTGTTTACTCCACAGGCAACACCGAGCACGAGTTTCATTTGCGTGACAGACCCTTATTTTAGGAAGGAAAACCAATCCTCAAGTAGAGAACAGCTTGCATGTCCTACCTGCCTAAAACCTAGGAACCACCAGAACTTTCAGGGTCATCCTCAAACAGGATGGACGCAGGTTGATCCTGCTCACCCCCAGTAGATTTCCCCAGTACAGTAGTCCCTGTACAGACTTTAAGAATATTGTCCTCCTTTATCTTTCTACACGGTCTCCGACTAAAGGACACATTTTCTTTGTTTGAGGTAGGCTTCGCTCTGTAGCTCAGGCTGATCTGGAACCTACCATGTAGCCCAGGCTGGCCTGACACTCTTGGTGATCTTCCTGCCTCAACACAGTAGTGAGCCACTATCCCCGGTTTAAATGACAGTAAGTTATTATTTTACCAGAAAACAAACACTGTTCAAGCGGCTTCACACAAGCCTACATCAGACGAGGCAGGGCTTCTCCAGTCCGAGCATGGGAAGCACTGGGGGAGGGGCCTGGTACTCTGCATTTCCAGCAAGTGTTGTGGCTGACAAGAGATGCTGCTTGTCTGAGACGCGCTACCATGGCGCTCTGAGGAATTCTACCAGGGCATTCTCACCTGCTGGAGCCCCTGCAGTGGATTCTGCTCACCACACACTTAGAACTTTAAAAAGTGTGTGCGACAGACTCCATGTCACTGAAAATGCCACCTTCTTACCCCGCCACTCCTGTCGTGACTTCCAGGCTTAGTTAAGTGGCAGGGACTTGAGAAACATCTCCCAAGTGAAGGACTCAAAAGAGAAACGTTAACAAAAATGGCAAAAGCCACCCTGAGCGATGCGTGCCAAAGCGAAGCCAGGGAGGTGGCTTTGCGGCTGTGGATAGGTGCCGGCTGTACAAGCATGAGCACCCAAGTTTGGATCCCCAGAACCCCCAAGGGGGATAAAAAGCACATGGAGCCCTAGAGCTTGGGAGATGGAGCTGAACAGCTGAGCTCCAGGTTCAGTGAGAGACTGCTTCAACAGAGTGGGTCAAAGTACTTGAGAAAGACATCCACCATTAACAGGTAATATGCATCCACCGGAATAGGTAGACACGCTACACACATACAAGTAAAGCAAAGGCTAAAGGTCAAAACCACCCTATATTCATTAGACTGTTTTTTGTTTGTTTGTTTTTAAAGCAATAAATGTTGCCAAAGATGGAGAATCTGAGTTCCAGTGCACTGTTGGTAGAGATGGAAAATAGTGCAATCACTGTAGAAAACATACGTAGGTCTTCAAGAAAATTAATAGGTTTACCATTTGATTCAGCCAACCTACCAAAGGCTATATGCAAGAGAAATCAAAGAAGAAATATTTATATACCCACAATCACAGCAGCGTTAGTAAAAAATAAGCAAACTGGAAACACTTCAAAAACTCATCACCAGGTGAGTGGATATGTAATATTATTCAGTATTAGAGAAGGACAATTTCTAAAGCATTGCTACAATAACACCGATGAAAGTGAAATAAACCAGGTACAGGCAGACAACCACTATATAATTCCATTTATAAGAGGCCCCTAAGTATAAAAAAAAATCAGAGAGAGTGGGAAGGGAACCCCAGGGAAGAGGGCAGCCAGAGAGTAAGCATTCAAAGGGAACAGAGTTTCACTGT